CGTACGTTGGTTCGGTCACCGACCGTACGAGGAAGAGACGTACCGTTAACCGTTAACGTCCGACCGTCGTTCGTCGTCGTCGAGAGAGTAGTCTCTCCTCCCTCCCTCCCTCCCTCCCTCCTCTCTCTCTCTCTCTCTCTCTCTCTCAGTCCCTGGAGGGACTGGGAGCCTCTGATCACCTGTGGGTGGAGAAAGTAAAAATCACGCTTATCATTCAAACCACACATTTTTTTTTTCTTAAGGATGAAGAGGAAGAAATCAAACTGGAGATAAATATGCTGAAGAAATATTCTCACCATAGAAATATTGCAACGTATTACGGTGCTTTCATTAAAAAGAGCCCCCCAGGACATGATGACCAGCTGTGGGTAGGCAAATATTTCCTGAGCACTTCGGGGGATTTCCTCTTTGGTTGTATTCAAAGGGCATGAAGAGCCTTCCGGAGGGAGGGGAGAGACTAGCAAAGAAAAAGGGGTAACCTCTGCTATCTTCTTGGCCTTCTGGGTGGAAGGTGTTCTGAATGTTTATTTTGATGTTGATTTTGCATAGAAAAGAGGTACCTTTGTTTCCGGAATAAAACAGCACATTAAAAAAGTGTCACGAGACCAGAGGAGGGTGTAGCTCAAGTGGAGCGCATGCATAGCGCACCTGAGGTCCTGGGTTAAATCCCCAGTCCCTCCTTTAAAAAAATAATTAAGTAAACCTAACCCACCCTGCCCCCCGCCAAGTGTAATGAAATAACAAGGTAATTAGGAACTTGAAAATAAAAGCAATATAAGAACTTTATTTATAGAAATTAATTAGTGTGCATCTCAACTGAATATATCTTTATTATGTGGGAATGAGAAACAAATTGCAAGAAACAAACTTAATTCAGCACTGTATTAATAACATTAATGATAATAGTTATTTAAGAGCACTGAATTCCAGGGAAATTGATAGAATCTATGCACATTCCCCTTATCTCTCATTGAACACATTTACATTCATGATGATGACACTAGATAGTGTCAGGTCTCTGGTTACCGCGTGAGCTGTGCCAGAGGTGCTGGACTTGAGGAGCAGTGAGATACTCACAGTAAATTTGTGCAAGTAAGAAAGTAAAAGGGAAACAGCTACTTTGATTCCCATTGCCCATATCCACATAGCTAGCATTTTAGAATAAATAGTTCAGTTCATTTTCTAAGTACTTTAAAAATAACACTTTTCGTGTTGTTTATACATTTAGGTGTTGTTCAATAATGGTTTTTAAAATTGCGTGCTGCTTAGAAATAGTATTTCCTTTCGTGCTAAACCCAAGTAATATAAAATAGTTGAGGATCACAGTGTGTGAAAAATGGAACATTTTTGACTCTGGCAGGTGAGAAAGCACGTTAGGGAGTATTTGGAGGAGGTGTCTGACGACTGAGCGTTGACCGAGAGCGGGGGGTCCGTGCACGGCTGTGCTTACGGCCAGGAGTGGTTCAGGGCCCCCCTGGGGCCGTGCTGTGCAGTGTCAGGGGCCCCGATCTCCTGGGCCCCATGTCTGTGCCCAGTAAACTGGGTGGTGAAGTGAGCTCCTGGTGATGTGGTGCCCCTACACCGGCCGAGCTCCCAGACCTTTAGGAAGGGTGGGGTGTTGGGGGTTAGACTGACCCCTGGACCCACCGGGGCTGCGCTGAGACCCGCGCTGCCCTGACCGCGGGCAGGACGCGTGAGCCGAAGCATGCCTCGTCTGCCTGCAGCTCGTCATGGAGTTCTGCGGGGCCGGGTCCATCACTGATCTCGTGAAGAACACCAAGGGCAACGCGCTCAAGGAGGACTGGATCGCCTACATCTCCAGGGAGATCCTAAGGGTGAGTGGGGTCTGCCGCGCAGCGGGGCGGGGCTCGGGTCTCCGTCTCCACCTCCCAGCCCCCGGGGTTCCTTTGCACTGGCTGCCACCACGCAGGTGCTTCTCCTCGTGACAGCCCACGGCTGGGCGTCACGAGCTGGCTGTGATAGTTTAAGCTGCATCATGGTTTTGACGCTGGCAAGCATCTAAAGGAACTAGATTTCAAATGGTTTGCTTTTTGTATTTCCCCGAATTCATCCTGCAGTTAATAAAAAGAAAATCAGAGTGGAGGGGAGGAGAAGTAATCTCTGACTCTTGTGTTTATGGGAATCCTGCGTGTAAGCTTATAAATCAGTGTTTATGGTGCTAAATGCTGGCTTTCAGAATCAGCCTGCGGACTCTGGCATTAGCTGTTAGGATCTGCTGCAGTATTTATGAGGGAAAGTTCTAATGTTTAGTGTTATTTACAGCCAATTGGAAAGCTGGTTTACGATCTTAGAGCAAGGGTCTGAACTACTGTTTCAGCAGCTTCTCAATGAGCCCTTTCAGCAGTGGAGCCGTCCTGACGGCAAGAGAGAGCACTTTAAAATTTCGAATTTGAGAAGCACATGTGAGCTGCCAGCGGACCTCTTTCCCGTGGTTTTTCTTTCCGCTTTACCCCTAAACTACACAGTAAAGTTGCTTGGTTGGGTTTTCATTTACCCACCACATTTTAAAGATAAAGCCTCTGGAGTTGAACTGAAATCTAATTCTTAGGTTTCTTTCACTAATTAAAGAGAATTAATTTATTTTTTATTAATAGATGAACTTTATTTATAGATAAATTTTATTCCACGTTTTATGTTTAAGTTTCATGGAGGACTGCAGGTTTACAAAAAATGCCATCTGGAATTCCTAGAGACAGTTAGAATTCTTTTTATTTAGGCATTTTACAGAGCCCTTGAAAGTAGACAGTTCCCTTAAGAAAACCAGGTGTAGCGGGTGAGGTGGGAGACCCAACTTTTGCAGTCACATTCAGATTTCATTATTAAAATACCAGGACTCCTTTATGGTTACTGTGGGAGCCCTAATGTGGGAGGCTAAGTGTCCTGCCCTGCGCGGCCATGAGGACGTGCAGACACTGGGCGGATGGGTTTATTGTCTTGATGGCTCAGTCTCCTAGCAGGGCAGCTGGGGGGTGCCCGGCGGTGAGGAGCGCGGACGCTGGAGGGAGCAGGCGGGGGTCTGAGACCCGCTGCTCATCCTCTGCACATGCCCCGCAGTCAGCTTTCGGGACTCACTTCCTTCATCTGTAGAATTGGGATCCTAGCCTGTGAAGGAAGTACCATTATTATGAGCATTAAGTGAGGTCTGGTGCACATGAATCATCTAAGGTAACGCGTGGGTGCGTAACTGATTCAGTGTATTATTTACCACCATTGCTATCAGATGACAGTGCAGGAAGCCCGGCTTGTTTGAGGCCCCAGCAACCTGAATATAGTGGTAGACATCTTCTTGAGATGAAGCAGATGTTTTCCACGTCTCTGGGCACATGAAACGAGTTTCCTTCGTCTGCCCTTGATCTAGAATGGGAATTTTTCCTATGAAAAGTTAAATGAACTAAACACAAGCAAAGCTTCTGGAAGAGTCAGTGTCATGTGCTAACGTGCATTTATCGCAGGCGTTACTAAGAGTTTTGGTGAAGGGAGAGCAGTCTGGTGAGGAGGTAAGCCTTGGGGAAGGAGGGTAGCTCACCTGCTTCGCACAGATGCGGTGGAGGCGGCCGATCCCTGAAGAGCCCAGGCGTCCTCTTTCCTTGGTGATGTTAGGTTCAGGTGCTGTTAAGTCAAGATCTCAGAAGGCTGAGTCCTGGGCATGTCAGCCTTGGGCATCAGTAGAACAGCCAGCTCCCTGAAAGCCTCGAGACCCAAAGGCTCACCCTCAGAGCCAGCGTGTTCCTTCCAGCCCATTTCCATGTTGGCCACCCACACGGCAGCTTCGAGTTTCACAACCAGCACTGAAGGACACTGCTGACCACTTCTTTCTTCTGCGAATGAGATGAATTGCAGGAAGATGTTTCCTAGCTTTGAGCATTGGTCTGTTTGCTCCTGGACGGGTGTTCGCTGTGTCCCGGACTTGCCATCGCTGCTGGGAAGCCAGCTGGGGCTTTGCTTATGGTGTGGAGGGTAGAGCACGCACCCTCCTCCCTCCCAGCCCCTTCCTGCAGGAAGACCGCGTCCCTCATTCAGGGTGGGCACAGCTCGGGCCCACGTGGTTGAAGGGCTGGTCAGCACTCCAGCAGCTGCTGGCCTGAAGCCGGAGGACAGGGGAATTGCTGGAAGGGAACCAGAGCGCGCACAGGCCGTGTTTGTTTGAGAAGACGCAGATACTTAACGTTTGTTGCTAAAAGATAATCCTGTAAAAGTATAAGAATGAGGTTTGTGAAAGTCAGGATGAAAAAATGAACTGAAGTAGTACAAGTAGGAATTATGAAAGAATTTGGGAAGCTGTGATTTTTCATCTCTTCTTTTGCTGTTCAGTTAGACCATGCTGAGAGGAGGGCCTGCCTTCCTAACTACAGCACGAAGATCCCATGTATTTTTAGCGCTTTGTCCCCCGGTCAGTGCTTTGTGGTAACACTACACACCCTGTGTGCCGGGAAAACAAACAGACAGCTGCCTCACAGGCAGACTAGTAAGTGATTTAAAAAAAACCCTGTGTTAGAAAAATAAGTGTTCTAAGACAGATGTTGTGTTTAATTCTTATCCTACCAAGGAGTGATGACAATAAAACCCCACAAAAAATTAAGGGAAAATCGGATAAACCCTTCTTATCTCCCTTCTTTGAGCTGAGACATTTTGGAGTTAATAGATTGCTTGGGTCTTAAGGAGGCAGGCTGTAGGTTTGGTCTCTAGCTGCAGACAGAACAGGGAAAGGAGTTGTGAGAATGATGCCTTTGTGTCTTTCTGACCATATTTGGATGCCGCCCCCATCCCCCACCCCATTGGAGGCGCACCCCCGGGCGTCGTCCAGATACAGGGTCATCAACAAGTGCTGTGTGCCCAGTAGGATTATTTCCTTGGGAAAGGGAGATATTTTATTTGAGCATAAAGCTTTTTTGTGGCAGGATTGTTTAACATGGGTGGAGGTGCGGGGGTCGATTAACAGCGGTCTGCTGCTCTTCGGTGGGTATACCAGGCAGGGTTCAAGCCTTAAAGCCCACTTGCCCATCACTTTTCCTCTGGGCTGCGTGGGTTCAGATAAACCCCCGGCCTCCCCCACAGCAGGGCAGGCTTGCAGCAGCGTGGGAAAGGAACCACCCTGCTTGCAAATAGCACAAATTACAGCTGAGACACTGCAGATGGTAATCTAAGGCGCCTTCAGGGAGCAGCCAGCAGGTGGCAGCGCTGCCCCCACGGGGCCCTGACCCACTGGATTGGGTGCCTCTGTCTGTCTCCTTGGTGTAATTGGTGATGTCTGGCTGGAAATGTCCTGAGACTGACCTGTAGGTTTCAGTATGGGTCCCAGAAACGTTTAGCCTGTGTGTGTGCTTTGCTATAAAAGGTGTTGTGTGTTCCTGGCTGTTTACTTACAGTGACAAAGTGCTGAATCCAGATCTGTCTTTCTTGTTCAGGGCCTGGCACATCTCCATATCCATCACGTGATTCACCGGGACATCAAGGGCCAGAATGTGCTGCTGACGGAGAACGCAGAGGTGAAACTTGGTATGTGACGGGCGTGTCACGTGATGCACGCACACTGGTGGCCCTCCCTGCCTGGGTGCCATTAGCTGCCAGCGCTCTCCTCGCCTACGCTCTCCACTTCTGTCTGTCTGAGTGTTGGGAACGGGGCTTATTGCTCAGCCTGCTCCAAACTCCTTCCCCTGAATGGTACACAGACATTTAAATCAGGCCTTGTATCACTGTCCTGCGTGGAGACCATTAATGACTTCCTGTTTCACTTGGAATGAAACCCCCACATCTTACCATGGCCCCTGCTGCTCTCCGGCCTCAGCCTATGAGCCTCCTTTGCGTCTCTTCCTCAGTCACTCATTTTATAACTTCCTTGGCACTTGCCTCAATCTTTCCCACATATGTTCCCGGAACACTCCTGGGGAACCCTTGCCCCAGCTCCCACGTTTCCGTCTATTTTCCTCACTCTCAGAGGTCCTCCCTGACCCTCTGTTCTGTGTTGGGTCCTACTGCTTGTCCCCTCCATAATGCTGAGCACAGTTTATAATTATATAGCTGTTTGTCTGCTTATGTTTCTGCCTTATCAGCAGTCAGTGGCTAGGATTGTCTGACCTGGAGTATTCTTACCCAGCACCCAGCATAGGGCCTTGAATGTAGTAAGTGCTCAGTAAATGTGTACATGGGGCCCACAGTGTCTTCCTGGAGATGCTCTTACAGTGGTTCTTTTCTGTGTCCTGTTTCCCTTACCTGGATCTCAGCTCGTTCCCATCGTGCGTTCATCGAAGGCATCTGTCAAATTTTTAAACAGAATGAGTGTTAAGTCCCTTTGAAATCTCAGGCACGGTCGTAGACTTGCCATCTCCCTCACTGCCTTCTTGCCTGACGCCGCATTTACTGGTCAGCTGTGGAGGGACAGTCTGCCCCTCTAAGCGAAGACAGGAGGCGCTCAGCTTGACCTCCCTGCTAATGGCCCAGCAGGCTCTGTGCTCCCTGCGCTGTCCCCGTGGTGGGACAGTCCCTCGACAGCCACTTGGTGACTGTGACCTGCACTCACCGCCTGGCCTCTGTGTCTGTCTCAGAAGCACGTGTGCCCACCTCCTGGCCAGGTAGTTTCCTGAGTGGTCCTGTGCACAGTACCCCCGGCCCTCCGGCATGCACTCCTGCGGGGTAGTGGCCTTGTGCGCGGGGTCAGCGTTGGCGGGCGTTCCATTAGAGTTGAGGCCTTCCTGCCATGTCTGCCTCTGTCCTTGAGCTTCCCTGTAGATTGCCTCGTCAGCCAGCTGGGTGGGACGTCGGAGGCCCAGCTACTTGGGGAGCGGTTTCTCAGTGTCTTGGCTTGATTGTCGTTGTTTAATTCAGCATCTCCTATGTAAGGTGCTGTTCTTTCCAGAAAACCTTCTCTGTCTGTGGTTTGTGCCGCGTATGTCACGTGGGTCTCTGGCAGCTCTCCTGACTCGGGTTTTCTGGGACATGATCTCGTCCGCAGCAGGCTCGCTCCCTGAGAGCACTGGAGATCCGGTCCACCCGGAAGTCCGTCTGGTGGCTGCTGTCAGGAAGCTCAGGGCGGTGGCAGGCCCGGCCTCCCGGGAGCCTCTGGGCTGGACGAGCATCTTGCCCCTGGTGGGTTTGCTCTGCAGATGGTGCCCGGAGGTTGCACATCCAAGCCGGATTTCTGTCTGGTTTACTCTGAAGACCCCTGCCCTCACCTTTCTTTGCCTGTATTTTACATGTTTGTTAATTGTCCTCTTCCTGCCGCAGTCGATTTTGGGGTGAGTGCTCAGCTGGACAGGACTGTCGGGAGGAGAAACACGTTCATTGGGACCCCCTACTGGATGGCTCCCGAGGTCATCGCCTGCGACGAGAACCCGGATGCCACCTACGATTACAGAGTAAGGCTCCTGCCCGGCCTCCGTGGGGCCCAACAGCCCTGAGAGTGGGCTCTGCCCCCTCCTCCCTGCCTGCCTGCCTGCCGCCCCGGGAGGACCGCATGGCCCCTGCGGCAGGTGCCCCTCTGCTGGGACAGTGTCGGGAGGCTTGCTTTGGTCCATCCTGTGTCGCCTCTGTTGTGTTACTGAGTGAGATGCTGCTTTCCAGGCGAGGGGCAGTCACTGTTGTTTGCCCTGAGTGAGTAAATGCTTCTGCCCTGTTTGCTATCCTTTTTACCTTGAAGAGTATATTATAATCAGATGTTTATTATTTTTAAAGTTTTGTCAGATTGTATAGCAGTAGCTTCGTCTCCGTGAAGCCTGAGAGCATCGTTACAGAGCTTGACGGCTTCGCTTTGGTGCACAAGTGGATTTAAACTGTTAGAGTGACCTCTAGGGACTTACATCGATAATGCACTTTTTGATCCTGATGTAAAACCCATATTTGATCATCAGACTCAGGTTGAATATGTTTTTAAAAAATTCTCTTGCCTTAAATGAGTTAGAGTTGTCGATGTACCTGTTAATGGTATTCAAAAATGAATTCATATCTTAACAGTCCCCAGTGTATTTCAGTATTTACTATAAATGCCCAGTTATGGAAACTCAATTTAAGTCTATGGAGAGGAATATTTATTTTATTTTTTTATATGTTGAAGCATTTTAAAATAGGTGATAGACTTTACAGCTTGTCACTCTTTGTTTCATCATTGTGTGTCTCCAGAATCTCAAAACGTTTTCTGACATCCAAAATATTATCATAGCTTTACTTAAGAATGATTTCTTAGTAGAGTCCATAGTTAGACCAGCTGGCTTACAGCTGGTCTGTCCAGACCAGTGTTCAGTGCAGGACGAGATGCTGGATTTGGTTGTTTGGCTGCTAGATATCTTCTAATTGAGAATATCCCGCACCCGACTCCACCCTTTGTCCCTGACTTGCTGAAGAGGCAGTGTTCCACCTTTTAGATTTATCTTACCATTTCTGAATGTTAGCTCTGCAGTCTTTGTAATGTCATTTAGCTTGTTTTCCTGTAAACTGGAAAGGCTCAGTTAGTATCCAGGAAGGCCTTAGCAAGGTGCCCTCGGAGGAGATGGGTGTGGTGTGTGACGCATCCCTCCAGGGGCGTGGACCACTGCCCCACCACTGCTGCTGCGGAGGCCAGTCACTGGGTTCAGGTCGTGAACCACCCTTCGCACTTGATAGTGTAGAAAACCCCATAACAATAAAGGGGCAACCCACGGGCCTGTCCTTACCTCTTGTGATAAAGTATATGCTACAGGTTATTTAGGAAAACCCTTAAGCTGAGCAACTTTAAGCAGTTTCTTTGTTAGTATAGCATATAAACAAAAGAAGGCTCGTGATGATGACCATCCGTTACCTGCTTTAAGAAAATCTCATTTGGGTTTTAAGAAGTTGGCTGATAAAACTTCATCTAGTGTATACTGAGCGTCTGCCCCGTGGTAGTCATGGTTCCGGAGGCGCAAAGATAAATGAAACAATGAAAGTGCCTGCCCTTGTGGATCTTGCATTTGAGTAGAAAATAAAGTTCGAGTTTTTAAATTAGTGTTTCAGGGGAATCAGAAGATTGCATGCACTTAGCTTACCACACATCCCTTCCTGCGTTTGAAGGGAGATGGAGTTTAGTGAGCTAGGGTAGGTCTTATTAATTCAGCTGCAGACCTTTTATAAAGCGTACTTTCTAGCCTTTAAACTTTTGACATCTTAATTAAGTGTGAGATATTGTCGTGAAACATAAGAATCAACAGCTGTCAGGGTTGGGAGTCTAAGCTACCTACTGCTTGTAAAGACCCGAAGGGACACTGGTGCGCAGAGCCTGCTGCGGCCGTCGGAGAAGCTGTCGCGTGGACCGCGTCTAGTTCCCCGTAGGCCGGGGTGGCTCTGGTTAACAGCCAGCTTTGTCTTCGTTGTGTCATCTGCTCATTCATTTGGAAGGTGCTCTTCCAGATGTGTATGTGCTTTTCATTTCCTGGCGAGCTTCGTCTCGGTTTATACACCCACGAGTGCATGTATGTTGTCTGTGTGGATGGCCAGCGGTGGAGAGTTCATGGCCTCACATCCTGCTTTGTTCTGCAGAGTGACCTGTGGTCTTGTGGCATCACCGCCATCGAGATGGCAGAAGGCGCTCCCCGTAAGTAGCCTCTTTTGAACCTGGTTGTGGTCTGTGACTTAAACCTGGTTTCATGGCTTCAGAAAGAACGCTTCGGGAGGAACTTCTCCTTGAAGGGCGTTTAGATGAAGGAATCCTAAGTGCAGTGGAGTTCAGGTGTAACAGCCATTCTTGGCAGGCATCGTTCCTTTTGAACATCTCCCTGAGGTCTGTAGGCTACATTATCCTTTATTTAACTTGTAATCAGACGTGTGACCTGAAATTGTTCTGACAGCAGGTAACAAGCAGTACTTTTTCTTTTTCCAGTTTAAATTGGATATTCAGTGAAGCTGGTTCTAACACAGGAACTGTCAGTATTATGTTTTGACTTTACAAATAGAGGCATAGTTTTTCACCTGTAGAGTAATTTTTTTTTTTGGATTACCTGTGAAATTTTGCTTCTGCTTTGGGTTAAATCAGTGACAGCTTCATAAAATTAATTTTTCAATAGCTTAGATTTTTCTTTTGTAATTGACTCATTTTTATTAAATTTTTTTTGGCGGGGGGAAGTAATTTATTTACTTATTTTTTTTTAGAGGGAGGGACTGGGGATTGAACCCAGGACCTTGTGTATGCTAAGCACGCGCTCTACCCCTGAGCTGTAACCTCCCCCAGAACTGATTTTTAATCAGGGGCAGGGTAGAATTGCAGAGAACACAAAGAATGCCTGACTGTCTGGTGCATAGTTGCTGCTGAATAAGTATTTGTTGAATGAATGAAGGAAGACTGCCCACAGCTAAGAACTAGTTTGCCTTGCAGAAGCGGCCATCTGTCTTGGTCACCGTGTCCCGCGAGGACCTGAGACAGGGCAGCACTGCCCGACCCTGTGTCTCAGTTTTATTTCCCGGTGGGACTAGTCCTCTCTTTCCCTCTGGCCCCATGCCCCAGCTGCCGTGTAAGATTCCCGTGAAGGTAAACAAACACGGAAATGCCCGTTGTGACAGACTCACGGGCGCACGTGCCCCTGACACGCCTTCACTGGGCAGGTGATCACAGTACAGACAGTAAGTGCGCAGAATTGAACAGTTCCGTCTCACTTCCACGTTTCTGCTTTTCCGCGGTAACGCTAGCTGTAACAGCGAACAGAGAACGTTCCTGGAGGGCTCAGGGCTCACTGTGTTCCAGGCATCATGTGACGATGGCCTTTAGGCAGCGTCCAATTTACTGCTCAAAGCAACCGCATGAAAATAAAATGATTTTCATTGTTGTCTTATAGATGGGGTAGGAACCTAAGCTGTTCACCCCTTTAGGGCTTTGAGCCAGCATTTAGCTCTGATTTATGAGGCCTTCCCGTGTCCCTTTGAAGCGGTATTCTTGTTGCTCTTGTCCACCTTACGTTTTGCTGTGTTTAAGCGGGGGGTTCGGGCCGTGTCGAGGCCTCATAACCAGGTGTCTGGACTGCTTGAGGTGAAGCGGGTCAGTCAGACGATGGGCAGAGCGTGTGGTGTCACGGGTGAGCCGGGAACCGGGGCGAGTCACGGGAGTGCTGCACTGACACGCGTCTCCTCTCCCCAGCTCTCTGTGACATGCATCCAATGAGGGCACTGTTTCTCATCCCCAGAAACCCTCCTCCCCGGCTGAAGTCCAAAAAATGGTAAGCTGTGTGTGCTTTCTTGTCGTTCTTGTTCTTTTCCTGTAAAAGAAAGATGTTCCTTTTTAGTTTTACTTCAAGACAAAATCCTTGCCATTCTGATTGCCCAGGAACACGAGCCGGTGCTCCAAGACGCCAGTTAAAAAGAGTATTGGTTTATTTTTTTAATGTATTTTTTTCTTGATAAATTGTCCTCGAATTATAAAATGGTAACAAGTGACTGTATGAAACACCAGAATGTGGTTCGAGAAAAAAGTTCCGTTGTAATATTTAAGCACACTTTCAGTGTCATGTATTTCTAAACATGTTTACATTAAATAGCAGAGCTGTCTCGACTTAAAGTTCCTCAGTGGAAATAGCATTGTAAAATCCACGGAGGCGTTCACTGTAATCATTGCAGGACATTGAATTCAAGGTGCCCGTTTTCGTCCCGGCAGACCTGCGTCGGAGGAGTGGCCCTCTTCCCGGGCTGCCCCTTCCTCGTGCATTTGCTAAACAGGAGCTGATCCCGGCGGAGGGAGTTGGTGGTGACGCCCCTGGCGAGGGCGGGAAGACTTGCAGCAGCGTGGGAGGTGCTGCTTTGGTCTGGTTCTAACACCTTGGAGGGAGAGGCAGTGCTTTGTTTTTTGCCTGAGAGTTTCACTCACTTGCTGCCCCCTGAGAGCTTTTCTGTTCCCTTCCTGTCGGTCCCTGTGTGCGCGTGCTCTCCTCCCTCCTTGCCTGTCCCTGCTTCCTGCGCTCGGCTGTCTGTCTGTCTTACCTGCTGTGGACTTTTTCCTTTCTGAAACTATTCTCACTGTTCTCACCAGTTTCCAGTTAGTGTTGTCTCCTCTGAGGTTCCTGCCTCTAATTCTGAAATGGGCTCAGGACCTCCACTTCGGGCCTCCTTCTCTTCTGGACGCGGTCTTCTAGCTGTTCGTCTGCTCTGTTCCACTTGGTGGCTCACCTTCTGATGTTCTGGAGTCCTTCCTGTCCGTGGGTGTGGACATGCCCACCGTGGTTTCCCTCCTGTTTCCTTCACGCTCCTCCCTGTGCTCTGCTGAGCACCGCTCTCCATCCTTCCCCACCTTTGTCTGCTGGCAGGATTCTCCCCCTCCTTTATCCTGTCTTTGACCACATTCAGCTCCAGGTAAATGAGGTGGTCTGGTTCTGCCAGTTCTCGGAGAGGTTCTTTAAGGCTTTACAGTTGCAATGGTTTTAGCCCCAGCTGGTCTCCTGTATTAAAACGTGGTAAATGGTGGGCTTCCCTGGGTGGCCGGCCCTGGAAACCAGACGTGGGCTGGGTAGTGGGTATCGCCAGGGAGTCCGCGCAGGGCTGGGGGGCGCTTTATTAAACAGCACTCACTTTCCCCTTTCTCTCTCTGTTGGATTTTATTATGCTCCACCTTCAGGGTATTTTGCAACTTATACATCTAGTCCGTTGGCCCACTCTGATGATTCTGTCCATTACTGCAGTTTTGGATTCGCTGTGTGTACGGTACACGAAGCAGGGAGACGGACACGATGACAGTAGACTCTTCCCGTCTTCTTCCACCAAACTGGCTCTGATTCCGCTGGATTAGTGCATCCTCACCAGTTTACGTCATTGCCTGGTTTTACCTAAGCATCCTAAAGGGTTGGGAGGGTTACAGTCACAGAGTCCTGTCCTGTTCACCCGATGTAGTTTCTACCACTGTTTTTGGAGAAGGGGCTTTTGAAAGATGATCAGTGAACTCTCTTCCAGCAGAATATGGTTGTTGATTTTAAAGACTATATAGATGGCACACGAGAAGCCATCTGGAGTTTTTTAAACTCAGGGCTCCAACCTTAGTTTCTGGTTTGTTTGGTCTGAGGAGTGACGTGGGCATTTATAGTTTTAATAAACTCCCAAATCATCCTGTGGGCAGTGGGGCTTGGGGGTCTCTGTGTTAGAGCATTCTGCCACAACTGTGTGGAATCTTCCACGTTCCTCTTTAACCACAGAGTAAGTAGCAGCCTGTGTGAGTGGCTGTGTGGGCCCTTTTCTGAGCTGACCTGAACCTCTTTTTGTATCTGTCTGCTTTTCACACTCACATCAGGAAACGATTCATCATTCCCTAGTGCTCCGCTGCCTCATCTGTGATGTCCCTGTCACTCTGGGGTGATGGCTCCTCTCCCCCGTCTTGGAACGTCTCGCGCCCTCCTTTTCCTTGATGTCTCGCCCCATCCACTGTCGCTGTGGTTCCTTTTCCTTCCTCTCTAAGTGTGACTGCACATCCGCTGTTGTGTGTTTGTGCACTTCCTCCCTTTATCTTCTGTGTGCTGTCTCTTACAGAGCCGAGTGTACAGGTTAGTCGTTGATGCATAAATGTCTGTTGAATAGAACAGAAATAGTAAGTTTGAATAAAATAGAAGACAATAGAAGTGATTCCTCAGAGCAGTGAGATAATTGGAAAGAATGAGCTAATTTTCTCAATCACATTTTTAAAGACCAAATAACTCATTCATTCAACAAAAATTTATTCCACACCTAACTACTGTAGTCTGCCTGCTCAGAGCTGGGCATTGCTGACAAGCTGAAAAGTAGGAACCAGGCCTGACCTGTACTGTTCAGTCCGGGGGGAGATAGACACATGAGCGTGAAACGTGCAGGGTGTTTCAGGCAGGCAGCCCCAGGGGGAAGGCTCCCAGAGAGAAGATGCCTGAGCTGAGTCTCAGGAGATCGGGTGAGGGACGGTGTCGTGGCCAAGGCTAGTGAGGGGTCATCATGAGCCAGAGATGGGGAAACAGGGGAGTCAGGGGGCTGCAGGGTTAGTGTGACAGTAGAGCCATCGCCCCCCACACTGTCGTTTCTACCTCTGCGTTCAGCAGAGAAAACTGATACAGGAACTGGTTCCAAGCTGATGGAAACGTCATGTTGCAGGTTCAGGCCCCGTGTTTGGTCGCTGCCTCGGCTCCCTTTCTTACCTACGTGTGCCCTCGTCGTCTAGGTCCAGACGTCTATCCTCTGTCCCCTTCCTAGTAGCAAAACCCCTCTCTGCTCCCTTGACGCCCCTCCCGTGACGTCAGCTGCCTCCGTGGCCCCCGGTGTGCGTGCAGCTCTTCAGCCGTGTTTCAGGGCCACTCCTGGCCGCGGTCCTGCTTCTGTTCCTGTTTCATTCCTGTGCTTTTGCGGAGTGTCGTTCACAGTGGATTCTGAAGCCCTTCTTTGTTTTCAAGCTTGTGAGTCATTGACATTTTGGAGCTTTGCTCTTGGTGGTAGAAATTTGATGGTCTTTTCTACTTCCTCTTCTAGGTCAAAGAAGTTTTTTAGTTTTATAGAAGGGTGTCTGGTGAAGAATTACCTGCAGCGGCCCTCCACTGAGCAGCTTTTGAAACATCCTTTCATAAGGGACCAGCCGAATGAAAGGCAAGTTAGAATCCAGCTTAAGGACCACATAGACCGGACCAGAAAGAAGAGGGGAGAGAAAGGTATTAAACCGGTTTTTATTTACGTCTTAAAACATGAAAGATTTTTTTGCGTTCTTGCCGGCCAGCATGCATTACTCCTTCCCACCTGTCAGTGTGGGCTCACCTGGCCGGGGCCTGAGCCGTCAGTCTCTGCTCTGCGTGCAGGGGTGGGCCGAGGGGCCAGCCGGGCTCCAGCCGAGGTGACCGGAGCTGCGTGGCATGCCGCCGGCCCCACGGCCAGGCAGCTGGCGGCTGCTCTCTGGCTCCTCGTCAGGAGTGGTCTGTTCTGCTGCGCCTTTTACTTCACTGTGGACCTCGCGTTCTGTGCACGTCACACAGGGCCTCGTGCGCCAGCCGTGAGCATCACCATGGTGTGTTCACCCCCCTTCCTCTCCCGCTCAGAGCCCCAGGGTGCTCAGCTTCGCACGGCCCCGTGATGTGGGGGGCCTGGGCCCCACGTGCAGCCCAGCGGCTTTCTCTTCTTCCCCTGCAGCACAAGTGTGTGCTTGTGCCCTTTGCTTAAGGCTCCAAGTGCTCTGTGCTGACGTGTTCTGTGGGTTCAGTGGCGCCTCCTGCCCAGTGAGGTGCCGGCCCAGCTTCACCACCATCTTCCCTGAGCCTCTTCTTGGAGCCCCGGGCTCACATTGACCTTCTTGTCCCATGAATTCTCACCGTGACTTTACAGAACAACATTGGAGAACTGGTGTCCCACTAATGAACTTTATTGGACAGTCAAATTTCAAGGCCAAAGAAGAAACTAAAAAGAACAAGTTCGAGTAAATAGTTGGTCGGAGGCATCCTTGGAGGCCTGTGCTGAGCTTTTTCCCAGAGTCGTTTCCGACCTGACACAAGTGCGGTACTCAGAGTTAACTCATCACTGATGGTCATCAGAACTTCTTTGCTCTCTGATACATTTGACCATGAAAGTAATTAAGCTTCATACACTAAGCTATGCACTTGTAATAAAGTGAACTAAAGTTTGAGAACGAAAGAAAGCTTTTTTGGGAAAAGGTTATTTGCATATTGGATCACTTTCCCACTGCTTTTTAAATAATAGCAGACAGTCCTGGAGCGCTGACTCCGATCGGGCTCATGGCACCTCGCGTATCCCCATCACCCATGACCCCCGCAGGTGTGGGCAGGGGAGCCCTCCACCTTCCTTCCCTGTCTTCAGGTCATGGTGACAGAAGAGCCTCTTTGCCTTCGTTCACCTTCCCCATACCTCTCGCCAATCGCTGAGTTCATAGTACAGAAGTTTAAGTATGTGAGTACCTATTTAAAGGATTCCCGGGATTATTTAGGTTGGAATTTCCCTGGGAAGCTAGCCTATTTTTGAGTTCTTTAAAATCACATAGTTTTGATTTCCTAGCATAGGAAAGAACTGATGTCAAGCGTAAAGACATACATACACGTAACAGATATTGCCAGCTGTGTACAGTATAGACTGAGCCATCTTTTAAGTTCTCAGGCCCGTTTTTCTTACCAGGAAGCCGATTTTCCTTAGGCATCTCTGAAGACGTACATATCTCTGGAAGAAGTTAGAGATGTGTGCTTTGTTTATGAATTGATAAGTCCCTTCAGCCTGTTCGGCCCTGATTGCTCCCTGGAGTGAAAGGGCTCGCTGTGAGTCAGGTACTCGCGCTGAGGGCAGGGCCCAGTGAAGCGGGCTGCTGCTCCTGGGGAGACGTCGTAAAACCTGTTGAAGCGCAAGTACGGTGTTCACGCTGAAGCTTTGCTTGGTTCTGGTCTAAGAGCGGCTTTTGGCTCCTGCTTTAGCTGTGCTGTTTAATCGGGTTTTCCCCGGTTCCTCCTTTATGATTTGTGGGAATGTGGAGCTAGGTTTTCCTGCCCTGAGTACCTACCCAGGGCTTCACCCTGTCTCAGCCCAGAGACTTTTGTCTCTGCTGTCCTCTAAGGCAAGCCCTGAGAGCTGAAAATAACCGAATACATTCTGTCATTGCCTTAGCACGGGCCGTTACATCTCTCTCTTGAGTGCGGGCGCCAGAGTGGACTGTTGGCTGCGCCGCTGGGCCGCTGTCCTCGTGTGTCCGGGGCCCTGCGGCCCCTCGCCTGTGCCCCGCCAGGGCTCGTCCGGAGCACAGCGGAGTCCGCTCTCCTGGGGGGAGTGAGGCTGGCCCAGGGCGTGCCCGCCGCCACGGCGGGAACCTGGTGGCACGCTCTCCTCCCCCCAAGTCCTCTGCACGCGTTGTATTTTCTAGAAGGGTATCTGGTTTATTGTCAGCGGCTGTGCCCTCGGGGATGCTCCTGTCTGTGCAGGAGTTGGTTTGTGCCCCAGTTGTCTTGTCGTCTTGTTCACAGATGAGACTGAGTACGAGTACAGCGGGAGTGAGGAGGAGGAGGAGGAGGTGCCGGAGCAGGAGGGGGAGCCCAGGTAAGGCCGCTGCCACCACCCGCACCCTGCTTCCCAGAGAGACTGTCGCATGGTGATGCCCGTGGAGAATGAAGGAGCCATAAATGGCTTTGAAAGTGTCTTAGTATCTTAGTATCTCCCGTTCTTCTACTCTTTGAAAGATCCCTGTAAACACTTTCTTTCTTGAGCCTCTGCCCCAGTGGCTCTGTACCGAGACTGCACTGCCTCCTCTCCCCCAGGCATTTGGAAACACTCAGGCTGTGTCTAGCCCCGGGGAAGGGGGCTTGCCCCTGGCATTGCCCCAGGAAGTGTCTGGTGGCACGTGAACAGTCCTGCACGCACAGCTGTCCTGCTCCCAGGCCAGCAGGGCCTCGGCTGGCACCGCCTCAGTCCTTCCCCAGACACATTTGTCTCTGGGACTTGTCTGGCTCCCCCTCCAGTGCAGCTCTAGCATCTCACATCCTCTGTTGGGGTGC